AATTTAACAAGGACATTATAAGAAAGAAAAATTATAGGCCAATTTTATTCAGAAAATACATGCAAAAATAACCTAAACAAAATATTAATACAGTAAATCTAACAATATTAAAAGAAAAATACATTGCAACCAGCTGGTATTTGGTTCAGGAATGAAAGGTTAAGTTTCATATTCAAAAATCAATAAACAGGTGTTATAACCATTTCTTAAATTAATCAGTATACTTCACCACATTGATGACATAAAGGATAAGTCATGTGATTATCTCAATAATACAGAAAAAATAAAATAAAATCCAACATCCATCCATGATAGAAATTCTTAGTAAACTATAAGTAAAAGGGAATTTTCCTAAGCAAGCAAAACTCATCTTTAAAAAAAAATCTAGGGGCGCCTAGGTGGCTTAGTCGTTAAGCGTCTGCCTTCAGCTCAGGTCATGATCCCAGGGTCCTGGGATCGAGCCCCACATCCTGCTCCTGGCTCAGCAGGGAGCCTGCTTCTCCCTCTGCCTCTCCCCCTGCTCATGCTCTCTCTCTCTCTCTCTCTCTCTCTCTCTCGCTGTATCTCTGTGTCTCGAATGAATAAATAAAATCTTAAAAAAAAATTTTAAAGTAAATAAATAAATAAAAATTTAAAAAATTTTTTAAAAAATCTATTGTGGCACCTGGGTGGCTCAGTCAGTTAAGTGTCTGCCTTCAACTCGGGTCATGATCCCAGCATCCTGGGATCAAGTCCCACATGGGGCTCATTGCTCAACGGGGAGCCTCTTCTCCCTCTGCCTGCTGCTCTCCCTGCTTGTGTGCACTCTCGCTTGCTCTCTCTCTGATAAATAAATAAAATCTTTAAAGAAAAATCTATCAATAACTTATGTCCACACAAAACCTGCCCACAAATGTTTATAGTAGTTTTATTTATATTTACCAAAAACTGAAAGCAACCAAGATATCCTCCAATAAATGAAAGGATAAACAAACTGTGGTACATATATACAATAGAATATTATTCAGTGATGAGAAAAATGAGCTATCAAGCCACCAAAAGACATGGAGAAACCTTAAACGCATATTACTAAGTGAAAAAAGCCAGTCTGAGGGGCGCCTGGGTGGCTCAGTCGGTTAAGCCTCTGTCTTTGGCTCAGGCAATGATCTCAGGGACCTGGGATCAAACCCCTTATCAGGCTCCCTGCTCAGTGGCGAGTCTGCTTCTCTCTTTCCCTATGCCCCTCTCCCCGCTCATTCTCTCTCTTTCAAATAAATAAATAAATAATGTTTAAAAAAAAAAAGGGCCAGTCTGAAAAAGCTACATAGTCTAGGAGTCCAATTATATGACATCTTGGAAAAGGAAAAACTATATTGACAGTAAAAAGATTACTAGTTGCCAGGTGTTGAGGAGGGTGGGGAGGGAAGAATAGGTAGGAGATGGTATTTTTAGGGTAGGGAAACTATTCTTTATGGTACTATATGTAATGATGGATACATGACCTTATGCATTTGTCAAAACCCATAGAATTGTACAACACAAAGAGTGAAACCTCATGTAAATTATGGACTTTAGTTAGTAATAATATATAAATATTGGTTCATCAACTGTAACAAATATATCACACCAAGGCAAGATATTAATAATAGGGAAACCTGGGGCGATAAGGGGGAAGGGAATATACATGGGAGTTCTCTGTATGTTCTGCTTGATTTTTCTTTCAACTTAAAACTTCTCTAAAAAACAAAGTCTACTAGTTTGTTTGTTTTTTGTTTTTTAAAATCTATATCAAACAGCATACTTAATAGTAAAAGGTTGAAAACTGTTCCTCTCAGATTAGGTACCAGATAAGGATGCCAACCATCACTACTTACACTCAACACTGTACTGGAGATGCAGTGAAGTAAAGCAAGAAAAAGAAAACCAATAACTAGTTTGGAAAGGAAGAAAAGAAAACCATCATTACTTGCATAAGATATGATTGTAGATGTACAAAATCTAAAGAATCTATAAATTATTAGAATTACTGAATTACTGTATTCATTACTGAATACAAGATCAATAAAAAAATCAATCATATTGCCATACAGCAGTATTAACATAAATGAAAGAGAAAGTAAATAACATTTAAATTAATATAAAATAATATCAAGGGGTGCCTGGGTAGCTCAGTCGTTTAAGCATCTGCCTTCAGCTCAGGTCATGATCTCGGGGACCTGGGATCGAGCCCCATGTCGGGCTCCCTGCTCAGTGGGGAGTCTGCTTCTCCTTCTCCCTCTCCCACTGTCTCTGCCCCCACTCATGCTCTCTCTCTCTCTCAAATAAATAAATCTTTTTAAAAAATAATAAAATAAAATAATATCAAATACCTAGGGCATCTGAGTGGCTCAGTCAGTTAAGTGTCCAATTCTTTTTTTTTTCTAAAGATTTTATTTATTTATTTGAGAGAGAGAATGAGATAGAGAGAGCATGAGAGGGAGGAGGGTCAGAGGGAGAAGCAGACTCCCTGCTGAGCAGGGAGCCCGATGCGGGACTCGATCCCGGGACTCCAGGATCATGACCTGAGCCGAAGGCAGTCGCTTAACCAACTGAGCCACCCAGGCGCCCAAGTGTCCAATTCTTGATCTCAGCTCAGGTCATGATCTCAGGGTCGTGAGATCAAGCCCCATCTCAGGCCCTGCACTGAGCATGGAGCCTGCTAAGATTCTCTCTCTCCCTCTCCTTTGTCCCTCCCCCAACCCATGCTCTCTCTCTCTCTCAAAAAAAAAAAAAATATATATATATATGTATATATATATATATATACATTCTTACATATATATAAAATACCTAGAAGTAAATCTAATAATTTAATAATCTTTTTTATAATCCAAAAGATGTGTACCCAGACAGCTATAAAACACTTTAAAGAAATGATAAATGGAAAGATATATTGTGTTCATGTACTGGAAGAATCAACATCATGTAAAGATGTTAATCTTCCCTCAAATTAATACATAGATTCAGTGCAAATGCAATTAAAATCTAACAGGTTTTTTGTTTTTATTTTTGTGTGTGTGTAGAAACTTACAAGCTGATTCTAAAATTTATTCCAAAATGTAGAGGGCCAGGGAATGGCCATGACACTTATTATAGAAGAAAAAATTAGGAGGACCTGATCTGCCAAACATCAAGATTTTTTATACAGTGACAGTAATCAGAACAATGGCATACTGGCACAAGAATACATAAGGAGACCAATGGAACAGAATATAGAGTCCAGAAACAGAACAATACCTATATGGGTACTTAATTTTTAGAATTAAAAATTCTTCTAGAGGTAATATGGGAAAATATTTTCATGACCTTATGATGGGAAGATGTCTGAGACAGGATGTATAATGTATTACTCATAAAGAAAAAAACTGATATATTGGAACATGCTTATTCATCAAAAGCACCACTAAGATAATCTGATAAAGGTATCTACAAAAATACTTATAGCAATTTCATACTTAATGGTGGATTATTAAACATTTTCCAAATGAGATGGGGAAAATTATTACTGCTATCATCACTTCTTTTCAATTTGAGGTCCTAGCTAGTATAATAAGGCAAGAAAAAGAAATAAAAGGTATATAAGTACTGGAAAGAAATGAAACTGTCACTATTTCAGATAACATGATTATATACATAGAAAATTGAAAATAACCTACAGTTCAACTATTTAAAGCCTAATAAGTGAATTTAGCAAGGTCTCTAAATATGACATAAATATACAAAATCAATCAATACCAGCAAAAACAGAAAATGAAAGTTTAAAAGATACAATTTATAATAGTTTCAAAACACATTTAATGCCTAGGGATAACTTTAACAAAAGATATGTAATATCCTGACACTGAAAACTATAGACATTACTGAGGGAAACTTTAGAAGACTCAAATAAATGGAAAGATATTCCATATTCATGGATTGAAGACTTAATATTTCTTACTGTAGTAAAGATACCAATTATCCCCAAATTGATCTATAGTTGCAACATGATCTCAATCAGGTTTTTTTTTAATTTGCAAAACTGTTAAGTTGATTCTAAAATTTATGGAAATGCACAAAGGCCAAGAGAAACCCAGGCAATCTTTAAAAAAGATTTATTTATTCATTTTAGAGAGAGAGAGAGTGCATGCAAGTGGGGGTAGGGACAGAAGGAGAGAATCTTCAAGCGGGCTCTCATGGAGCCTGATGAAAGGCTAGATCCAACAACCCATGAGATCATGACCCCAGCCAAAACCAAGAGTCAGATGCTTAATGGAATGAGCCACCCGGGTGCCCCAAACCCAGGCAATCTTAAAAAAGAAGAGGGCTAATGGACTTATACTGCAGATATCAAGACCTATCATACAGCTATAATAATATAGGTCAGCTTTGTAAGTATAAGTAACTTTAAAATTAACATTTTAAAAAGATTTAAAAATAAAACTACAAGGGCACCTGGGTGACTCAGTCAGTTAAGCAACCAACTTTTGATCTCAGCTCAGGTCTTGATCTCAGGGTCATGAGTTCAAGCCCCGCGTTAGCTCCACACTGGGCATGGAGCCTACTTTTTAAAAAACTTTTTTAAAAAATAAATATAAACAAAACTACAGCTCAAAACAATTTACATTACATAATACAAAGGAAAAATTTTACCTTGGATTCAGTATCAGGAAAATGTGAATCCCTTCAGCTAGATGAACTGAAACACTTTCTTTTATTAGAGAATTAAGATATTATAGTCCATTTTGTTATCCTTTCCAGGTAACTTAAGAATGTGTAATAAGGAACTAATCACAAGTGCTCCAAAACACATCTCTTGGTTTTCTTTAATATGCTTTTTATTTATTAGGTATTAAGTAAGTACTTCAAATTATTTTTAAGTATTAAATAATAAAAAATGACAAAGCTGTGTCTTCAAAACCATTCTCCTTCCTTATCTGCCAAAGAAGCAAGAGAAACAGCTAATTCCAAAGCCAATCAGAACCTGACAAATCAGAGATGTTTACCTGATCAAGCCCTTCCCCAGATTTCCTGAGATTCTGTAGTTGGTAAACTTCCAGGCTTCTTCCATCATCTTGACAGCACAAATCAATTACAACACAGCCCTGGTCCTCAAAGGCATTGATTTGATGAAAAGTAACAAAAGGTTTACTGTAGTATATTCCTGGAAGAAGCTGCAGAGGAAAATACAAACAATGAAAGAGAGATATTTTGTTTTTTCATTTTTTTTCTTTAGGGGACAGACCCACAAAGTTTAAATTAAAAAGATTCCCTCCCTTTAAATGACAGGCCTAGTAAGTGTAAAAAGTAGAATTTGGAATGTAGAAGCAAACCTTTGATTTAAGCATCCTTCTTTAAGCCATCACATCTCATATTAAATAATGAATTCTGGAGCTATCTGATACAGACCAATCAATGATTACAATGAACTTAAAAGTCCTGATGAAATATGGCCCAAGGTTTTGAGGGATAAATAAATCCTGGATTCTATCTTACATGATTAAATAGAAAATACTGCTATTAAGTAGCTTATGATGAACTCTTTGAAAATGCACTCAGTACCAAAAATAGGATTTTTCTGGTAATGAAATTAGGGTAGAATAAATTTAGGATATTATCTCTTTAAAGAGACTAAAAGAAGACAAATATAATAGTACTACTAATCAGGAGTATAGAAAGATATTTAACTAACCCACGCACCTTGGACTTTGGTAGGATTATCATATTTACCTATCAAGAAGTCACAGGAGCAAGCAATTAAAGTAAGTGCAAATGTTCCAAGACGTCTGCATGAACAGCATTCTCTTTAACAAATATCATCATATGGAAAAATCCATGCTTAGATGCTAAGAAGATTTCCTAGATGGCATTTTAGTTAAGTCAGATAATTAAAAGTGTAAAACCAACAATTTTCTAATATGCAAAACCCACTGTATTAACTAATAAGTGAGCTAGCCCTACCTACGGAAGAAGGTAATATCCTTGATTAAGAGAGTCTTATGCAAGCAATGCCCAGGGAAAGTAAAAATCAACCACAGGAAAATGTGTATTTGTGTCCAATAATTTTCATGATAAATATACTCAAAATACTCCACCTGTCCAGTGTGCTTATCCACCACATGAAACCGTGTATTATACTGGGGTTCCCAGCTTATTCCACTTGAAAAGGCCTTTCCCCGAATTCTAGAAGTGACAATTTTCCACAAATTCATCTTTAGAGGCTGTTCAATGAAGATTATATAGTTCCTCGTCATTCCTAAAAGGTTCCAGCAGATAATAAAATGTTATTTGGCAAATTACAGTTGTCTGAAATGTGACAGTTACGGGGACTTATCTGAATGCCTGGACATAGTACTGCTGACCTAAGCAAAAGCCAGCCAGAAATAATCCTTCACTATTTCCCTGCTTTGTTTTACATATTTCCTGTTCCTACATAAAAAAGGGAACTGCTTAGAATAGCTTGGGTTGAATACCGTCAGCTTGCTTTTTATCTTTCTTATTTTTCTTTTCAAATTGTTTGTTTTAGGAACAAAGTAAAGAAGCATAATATTAAAGTGTCATTTGTGATCGAGATGTTTATTCTGTAATCCATTTGCTATTTGTACTGAAGGTAAGGATTCAGGAGTAGATTGGCCATAACAGTTTAGAACGTAGAAAATAAATATTCTGAGAAAGAGCTGAAGCAATCAAACAGAATATAAATTTCCCCCCAGGAAATATAGTCAAGACCTTTTTATGTATGATTATTACCTGTGGCTTAAAGTTACCTAAAATTTTGAATTCTGTCAATTTTTTTATGGTCAAATGATTTTTTTTTATTAAGACTTTACTTTTTTTAGAGCAGTTTCAGTTTTGTAACAAAATTAAAGGGAAGGTACAGAGACTTGTCATATATCCTCTGTCCCCAGACATGCATAGCCTCCCTTTTATCCGCACCTCCCACTAGAGTGGTTGGTACATTTGCTATACCTGATAAACTTCCACAGACAAATCAGAGGCACTCAAAGTCCATAACTGACCTTACGGTTCACTTTTGATGTTGTCAGTTTTTAAGTAATTGCTAGTACTAAAATAAATACGTCTTTTTAAGCAGTCATTTGGCCAGGGTAAGAAGTATGTGACTGAGTAGAATAAACTTAACTGGCATTAAAATGCAACCTTGGTCTCATTATCAGCATCCTTTGATAAGCTTATCAACACAGTATTTGCCCAAACTAGTTCCTCTGCTACAGCGACATTAAGGCAGATGCCATTGCAATTTACCTTATGTCTGGGCTTACCAAAGCTATGATAGTAAGAAGGTTTCATCCTCTCTGCAGAGGCAATAGAACATATCACCTGGGCTCTGTGGATTGTCTCCCCAGGATCCACCTTCTCTGGAGGAACCCGAATAATATTATAGCAAGAACCTGGAAAACAAAGTCCTGTGTTATTTTACACACATTCTAGAATAAAAGATAACCCTCACACTCATGGACTACACAAAAGCAGTTAAGAGATTTATACAATATATGCCTGACATCCATATTTCATAAAGGGTTATTTCAAACAAAGACTTGGATAAAAAAAAATATTAACTGGGGCGCCTGGGTGGCTCAGTCATTAAGCGTCTGCCTTCGGCTCAGGTCATGATCCCAGAGTCCTGGGATCGAGCCCCACATCGGGCTCCCTGCTC